TGCTGTCACTTTTGTTGCTGTGAAGTTAGGGAGGTTTATCAAATTTCATTTCAATGATAGTCTCCAATATTTTAAATTTTTTTTACAGGTTTGGGGATTTGATAAATTATGCGTCAATGTTAGGTTATCAACATCTTTTAGAATATACTATATACTAGAAACAGTCCTTCTGTGAAGAACTTTTATATCAAATCTTACATATTTCAGGGAGTGCAGGCCCCTCCTACCCCACCCAACCCCCCACCAGTTATAAAATTAGAACCCACATTTGAAGAAGAGGATGAAGATATATCAGACCACGCCCAACTAGACGCTACACCCACAGTTGCAGCCAAGGCTTTACGGAAAGGTAGAAAACGAGGATCAGCCAATGCTACAGAATCAGAACCATTGGTAATTTCAGTTTTTTCAACTTTTCTCTGATACCTTGGCCATTGCATTTTTCCCCATGTCCTGAATTATTGAGTTCATCCATGCTCTCAGCTACAATATGTTGATTAAACATTACATTCATGATCTATTGTTTATTTGTCTAAAGTTCAAACTGGAATTTCATTTCATTTCCAAATATATCAATAGCATGAGGTGAGCTCCAATAATCTAACCACTATATTTGGCAACCAAGTAAAAAAAAAAACAAAATGCCAAGCCCATAAAGACAATTGTGTAAAATTTCAGGTTCCTAAAACCAGACGACGTGGAAGACAGGCTGCTACTAAAATTAAAAATGAACCAGTTGATGAAGATTGTGTTTTAACACCATTAGATTTAGAGGAAATTAAGGTATGACTGTCTGGACTCTTAAAAAGAAGGTTGTCTATAGTGAATTCTGCTCACTTGACTACCTTTATAAAGCAATCACCTTCAATAAACAATAAACTTCCCCTACAAATTTTTAATATGATAAACGACTGATTAGCGACCACATTTATTATGCAATCAGCGACCATGTATTTACACTCCTGAGAAATCAAATACAGTGGAGCCTCGTTTATCCCCAAATTCCCATTCCAATAAAATCGTGCGGTTGAAACATTCCATCCATAACTAGAGTTATGTCCCTTCCTTTCCCTTGGGAAACCTGTCAAAAACCTGTAGTCAATAAGGCCCTATTCGATTACAACAAATCGGAACCGGTTTGGTACATCAGATTCATGTTGTAAACGAGTGAAACAGATTCGAAAATCAAGACTAATTTAAAATTATAAGTGCCCTATGAATAATGCCATCTTGAATCCGATGAATCTGCCCTAGGAAGCGGTTTTCGGATTCAGGGCAAACCGTTGTGACAACCGTGACATTTCTCATTATCTCCCTTGTATTAACATCACTGTATTTCACGTACAGGTGAGAAGTAAGGTGTGATTGTGTTGATTACTATGAATATATCTATGTATAACATGGAATTAATAAACGTATATATTACAGGAAGAAGACAATGAAGAAGAAACAGGCGGTAAAAGACCGGGTAGAAGAGCTAAACAAACTGCTAAAAATAAACTGGGTGATTCGGCTATGGGTTCTCCTTTAACACGATCAGGTGAGACAATTATTATTAGACACATGTCAAATGTTTTATGGTCATGATTAAAAAAAATCAAGGAAGATTCTATGATAGAGTTTTTCATTTGCAGCAAATGTGCCTTTCGGGGGATCAGCCCTTGATAAGTGTAGTTTAGTTTGTCTTTATTAAAATCCGTACTAGCAAGACAATTCCATTAATCAAAATCTGTCCGAAGTATGGCAAAAGCAAGAGTAAAAGTGCACTCCTCCAAAGTAAAGTACCATCAGGTGCTTCGAAAAGAATAAGCATGGTCTGCTTCTCGAGAGACACCGGCTTGATTTGACACTATGCTCGCTTCTATTGCTATAAGTGTAAGGTCCATGGTGCTTCAACAATCCCAAACATAAAAGTGAGTTGGAGCTATTGTAATTGAGAAACCTGCTCTATAAATTTATGTTCTATTGATATATTTTACAGCTAAGAAATCTGAATCACTAGAGAACATTGTACCTGATACACCAGAAACAGAGACTAAACCTCGGGGAGGACGTAAAAAACGTATCTTATATAACACAGATGAAATTCATATCACACCACCGTTTGAATGTGGTAATTTTGTGGTGGGTATTTTGAGTTTAAGAGATTAAGTTTTTTATATAGATATTAATCCATGTATGTCATATTACAGAGTAACCTGTACATGCATTCTTAACACAAAGTTCAATATCTGTATATCATGTAAAATTGAAAATTTTGCACCTTTGCATGAAAATGTAGATTTAATCCCTCAAGACAGTCTCCTAGGTTAGAATTGGTTGCAACCGTACGATGCGCCATTCAATCAGGTTTTTGTCATATTGGCGAGGAATTCTTGAATGTTCATTTTTATATGCTTGTTTTTCACATTGATGGCAGTCAAAGTTTGACTTAACTTGATTTACACTAGAATTAAGTGCCATTGGTTCAAACCCTGTATAGCTCAGATAGTAGAGAGTTGGATTCTTGGTTCCCATGGGTTCGAATCCTTAATTTTTTTATGCCATGGCTAGTGCCTCTAAAAAGAAGCCTTGTATTAACTTCAACCTCTATTACCAGAGTAAATTGAACCATAATTTTGATCTTTTATTTTTCAGCCATCCTCTGTATCAAATGAACAAAGAACGAGTTCAAGGTTACGAGGTCGTAAACAATCGGCAGTGTGAAGATCAAACTTACAGATTTACTTTCATACACAACGAAATTATATCAACTCCAGGCCC